GATTAAATATTAAATAATATAATCATAATAATAATCACAACAGACTGTTTTCGTGTGGTTTTATTGTTGTATCATCCATCATCCATCCATCTAGTCGCTTGCCCTACTTATTCTTTATTAATTAGAATAAATCAAAGCAAATCTGTAGTTAGTTCTTTTTTTTTCCACGTCTTACCTTGGCATTTCAGGCATACACTATAGAGAGGATGGTTGCCAGGGTAGTTTTGCTACAAAAAGCATATCTCAAGATGGAATTCTAATTGCGTGAGTGAATTTATAAAAGTAAGTGTTTGTGTTGAGAGGGTGAATAGTGGCCACTTTTTATTTGTTACTCTTGATTGATGCACACCTAGATGGTACTGAACTGTGACTTTAAAACTGAAGTATGTACTGAATAATAATATTTTGTACCCTCACACCCCTAATAAAAATACAACAAGACAGTGATCTCATGACAGAAATAATGAACAAGGTCTTGATACAGTTGAACAATGTGAGTTCCACATTATTGATCCCATACACACACACTATTCAAGTGCATCAAAAGCAGCAGATAAAAGGAAAGATGACAGGACTTGATGTTTCACAACTTCTTTTATATTTCTTCAAGTTTAAACAAGCATAATACACTTTTTCAGTTTGCCATTATAAATGACAAGATAGGATACAGTGTGACAGCAGTTTTAGGTTTCACTTTACCATCGTATCAATGCACGTTAACTATGACTTTCTTTTCTACCACAGCCCATTGTGAGAAGCCTAGTGGGGGTAAGGCTATTTCTTTGAATATCCTCAATGTCACTGCGAAGCAGTGTAGGTCGACACAGGGGCCATCAGACCATCCCATTCCAAATGCTGAGCTCACAGTTGGAAATAAGTGCTTCTCCAGAGATAACCCTGCTCCCTAAAACTGCCTTCCACATCTGTGTTAGAATGTCCACAATGTGCACGTTTAACATGTGACCATTAATCACAGCAAGACAGTCAATTAAAGATATCAGAGCCACAGAAGCCCAGGGCAGAAGCATGCAATTGTAAATGATACAAAGGCACATCGGAAGACACTTTGCACATTTTGTCTGGTTATTGTTGAACCGTTTCTCACTTGTGACTGTACAGAATGATAAACAATGTTTACCAACAGGACCTGTGATTGGCCTCAGGGTTACAGCTAACCAGGTTATTCTAATTCCTGTAATATGTGACAGTTATTCTTGGTAAAAAAGAACATTTAATCTCTTACAGTGTAAGGATTTTTCATAACTGGACATTTGTCTTTACCAGATTCTAAAATTCTTTAAATTTAACCTGAAGTGTTTGAAAAATGAATAACAGATTAAATCTTACTAAACAAAACCGAAGCCAAAATAGGAAGGCATTGTGGGGAAAAAGTAACTACACCCTTGCTAGTTTCAAATGATTTAACCCTTTCAGAAGAGTAATGAGGGAATTTGAAGTCCATTTTTTTCTTTACAATAAAAAGGATTATTCCTAAGAGGAAATGATTTAAGACAGCTGCATATTCCAGTGAGAGATATTGCAGTGCTCAGTGAAATTGCAAAAACACAGCAAAGAACTTCATCTTAGGAACTACAGGCCTCTCCAGGCTTTTTAAAAGTTAAAGATCATGACAGGACAATCAGAAAAAGACTGCAGAAGTATGGCTTCTTCGGCTGCCAGGAGATAGCTTGCACATGGCATCATAATTTAAGCCCAGCTCACAATGTCCATTCGAAAATCATGCAGGGTTTGAATAAATAAAATTGTGTGAGCTCAATACAAAAAATCTTGGAAATTAGTAACTCCTGTCATACTGCACAGTGGAAGTTAATCCAGCAGAATCAAGTTAAAAAGATTTGACAGAGAATTTACCCCAATGGAAAACAAGTTACAGGTTTCAAAGCTATTATTATTGGAGTAAGACTGGAAAACTGGAGAGGAGGACAAGTAAAAGGAGACAGGTGTGGAAGTACTTGTGGCTGGGGAAAAGAGGATATTAATAAGATGATGCCTGTAGCAGCAGTCATACTGTATGATTTCACCACAAAATTCTCAGACACTGATATTTGTGTTAAGTCGTCTTTGGACAGAGGAATGAAAGTCAGCCGTTGAGGAGCTTTTTTTCTTATTATATGACTACACATCGCTAAGTCAAGCTCACAATCATAGATTTTCTTACAATTCTTTAACGACAAAAGAGTTTATCTAAGACTGCTATGTGTAAACCTGTCTTTAGGATTACAACGTTGGATCTGAACGATGTCCTTTGGACAGATGAGACTGAAGTAGAAATGTCTAGCCATAATGAAGAGCACCATGTTTGGAGAAAACCAAATACACTATATCAGCACAAACACCTCCCATCAACTGTCCTGCATGGTGGTTGGGGTGATGATATGGGCTTGTTTTGCAGCTACAGGATCTAGGTACCTTGTAAGTCACTGAATCGACTATGAACTTCTCTGTATAAGAAAATGCTTCACAGTCAAATGCAATCTCTGCAATGGGTTCATGCAAGCAGTGAAGCGATGCTGAATGAAGTGGGCAAAATTCCTCAACAATCATGTGAGACTAATAAAGTAAGACAGAAAATAAATACTTCAAATTAGAGCAGATAATGATGGTAAAGATTTCCAGTTTTTACTTCTGTTTTCTTGTAGAAATTATGACAGTGTGGAATTTGTTGTATGTTTTGAATGCTTGATTTGAATCATTTTAAGAAGCTGGTAAAGAACTCTGCTGATCAGCAGTGTTGAGTTGAAGCTTTTGATCCTGGATTTACTCGTGCATTAGTCTTTTCCAAAAATGAATAAACTTCCAAAGGACTCCGATGAAAGAAAACAAAAATTTATTCCAGAGCTTGTATTCTTACAGGAGTATTCACAAAACTTGTCATCTCTAATGAATAATGCTACAGTAAAAAACACATGTTGCTCAGTAAGTTATAAGCCTCAACTGCCTGCCACTCTACCAAAAACCTCCAGACCGCCCTGCGCTTCTCTTAAAGAGACAGTAACCTATTTACTGCTCTATGATGAACTTACCAAATATGACTTCTTTTACAGATTAATGCCCTTAAATCAATGTTAAGATAAATGAATGATTTTCAGTTTAACGAACTAAATGAAATTACATCTTGATTATTCATTTTAATAAGGAAATACAACTTATACAAACCACACACACATTTGAACTAAAATTGGCTCCCACATATCGGCCGCTAAATGGTGCCTGAATTAAACCACAATTACCAAACAATAAACATGTGGAGCCAAAATACTAAAATCTTTCTGCATAAACAGCCTTCAGATCTTTATGAGTATATGTAGGCAGTCGTTCTACTCAGCTTTCTACAGGAGGTAAATCTTTGTAACGGGCCTATTCAGCCAGTGTATTAGTTTAGTTTTAATCCTCACTTGACGTACCATTCCAAGCTTGTCTGGTGTAGTCTGGATTACCTTTCCTGTAAGCCAGTTACGCGATGGATGGGACCACTTTTGTCGCTCTTGGAGTAACGGCAGATATTCTCTCATCCACCTCTTCCAGAATATGTCAGATAAATACTGAGTCTGTTTCCATCTATTCCTGGCGTAGAGATCTTGTTTATGAAAAATACTAGGGGGCAGGGATGGCCTGGTCTGGAGAAGCAAGAGATTATTGGGCGCAAGAGCTTCTAGGTCATTAGGATCATCAGACTGCTTTGTTATCGGCCTACTGTTGATAGCGGAACCTGCTTCACACAAAATATTGTGTAGACCCTCTTCATCCAGTGTCTGTTTTAGAGTAACATTCAAGATTTTCCTTATTGATCTAATCATTCATTCCCAAACACCTCTGTGGTGGGAACCACAAGTCACAAGCTTGTTCCATTATCTGAGCGGAGTATTTTTACCTAGCCTCTTCTAGCTAAAACGTTGAAGGGCGTGTATAAAAGAATTCGTGTCCATCAATGCTGCTATCTCTAAGTGAATTGCACAGATTGCCAGGCATGTAAAGATAACGCCATATCTTTTTACTGTGCTTCGACCTCGTTTCACTTCGAATGGCCCAAAGTGATCCACTCCAGTATTAGTGAACGGAGGGCCATCTGGCAGGACTCTGTCTCATGGTAAATCTGCCATTTGTTGTTGTCCTGCAGCTCCATGTGTCGACCAATAATGCATTTGGACAGAATCTTCCCTATAGAGCTGTTAGCTTTAGGAATCCAATACTTGGTCATCAACTTGGCTAGTACATGATTGTGACCGCTATGACATAAATTCTCATGTATTTCTCTGAGAATTAATGTTGTCACATGAAGACCTTTGTCCAGAATTGCTGGTCGCTTTGAATCTTCTGGCAATGCAGCTCTGCTGAGTCTACCTCCAACTCTGAGGATACCATGATCAAGGACTGGGTTGAGCTTGTATATGGAAAGCCATTTAATTCAAAATTAAATAAATAAATAAATACTGCTATTGATAAATTATTAATAAATATTCCATGAAATAAATAAATATCCCCATATAAAAACAAAATAATTATGTTAAAAGAAATTTTCATCTTATTTTATTTAATTCATTTCAAGATTTATTTAATTTACTTAAAGATTTATTTATTTATTTTACTTAGAGATTTATTTATTTATTTATTTCATAATGCAGTTTTATTTTGTAAAGCTACTTTACGTATTTCACCCTGTTTTTCATTTTAAGCTCTTTTTATTTCATGTTCTTATATTCAAATGAGGGGGCAGAGTTTTATCTGTGGGGTGGCGCTGGGAGAGCAGGGCTGAGCTCAATTCATGGATGCATGCCGGAGGGAGCCAAGGGATTCTGCGAAGAATCTCCTGGCTCCCTCCCCTGGCTCCCTCCCCTGTCTCCAGCCGTAAAAGCCTGCCACGGCGGTTGCCGCTGTTTTTGTGAAAGCCAATGCTGATTATCGGCAAACGGGATGTCATTATTGTTATAGCCTGTTACTTTTAAATGATGATGTCTTTATTGGTTTTTATTTAATAAACTGGCTGCACGGTGGCACAGTTGGTAGCACTGTTGCCAGCACTGTTGCCTTGCAGCAAGAAGGTCCTGGGTTCGATTCCCAGCCTGGGGTCTTTCTGCATGGAGTTTACATGTTCTCCCCGTGCATGCGTGGGTTCTCACCGGGTACTCCAGCTTCCTCCCACAGTCCAAAGACATGCCTGTTAGGTTAATTGGTAACTCTAAATTGCCCTTAGGTGTATGAATGAGTGTGTGCATGGTTGTTTGTGTGTTGCCCTGCGATGGACTGGCGACCTGTCCAGGGTGTACCCCGCCTCTCGCCCATAGACTGCTGGAGATAGGCACCAGCTTCCCTGCGACCCAATATGGAATAAGCGGTAGAAAATGACTGACTGATTTAATAAACAGTGTTAGACCCATAACATAAGGTGGCTGTATTTACTTGAGATGGGAAATAAATGGCACTATGTGTATGTATGAATGACGTGCTGAAAGAATGATGAAGACTTATTGCACAAACAGTCGGTTTATTATAGAGCACGAACGGCAACTGTCACTCACAGAAAATTATAAATAAATGCTTAAAAACACGCTGGCACTCAATGGAAGTCCCTGGCCACAAGGCTGCTACAGGGTGCATGGGGTGCCATACCGGCTGTAAAAGCCTTTAACATGCTGCCACGGCGGCTGACGCTGTTTTTTTGAAAGCCAATGCTGATTATCGGCAAACGGGATGTCGTTATTGTTACTATTGCCTGTTAGTCAGTAATTATTTTCAAATGATGATGTCATTGTTGGTTATTATTTAATAAACAGCATTTGACCCATAACATAAGGTGGCTATATTTACGTGGATGGAAAATAAATAGCACTATGTGTGTGAATGACGTGCTGAAAGGATGACGAAGACTTATTGCACAAACAGCTTCCACAAAAACAGGGCAGGCTTTTACGGCCGGAGCCAGGGGAGGAATTCTGCGAGGAATCCCCTGGCTCCCTCCGGCATGCTGTCTTCAGGCTGGCAGCAGCATGCTTCTGCCGGCCACAGCCACGAATTGAGCTCGGCCCTGCAGTCCCAGCGCTGCCCCACAGATAAAACTCCGCCCCCTCATTTGAATATAAGAACATGAAATAAAAAGTGCTTAAAATGAAAAACGGGGTAAAATACGTAAAGTAGCTTTAAAAAATAAAACTGCATTATGAAATAAATAAATAAATAAATCTTTAAGTACATTAAATAAATCTTGAAATGAATTAAATAAAATAAGATGAAAATTTCTTTTAACATAATTATTTTGTTTTATTTCATGGGGATATTTATTTATTTCATGGAATATTTATTAATAATTTATCAATAGCAGTATATATTTATTTATTTAATTTTGAATTAAACAGCTTTGCATACTTGTAAAGACTACTGTTTCTCTTTACACTTTCGCACTGTTGAAGTGCAGAGATCTCTTTGGCGAATGTCTTTCTTTGACAATAACGAACAATAGCTTGCTCAGGTGCAGTTAGGTTTTCCATTGTGAGTTTATTAGGATAACCTCTCAACAGATCCGCTTTAAAACTCCTCAACTCTTTGTCAACTACAACTTTAGGTTTAGTAGCTTTTAACTCCTTCCTCTTACGACACAATGTCAGCAAAATGCTCTTGACTTTAAACATCCACGCTACCACTTCCTTTATTGAATTCAAGATGAAAAGTAGCATAAGAATTCCTGTACCACATCTTTTTAATCTTCAACTGCATTAGCACAGACCACAGCAATCTTTACTTCTGGGTCCTCTGTGGTTACATTCTCAGGAATATAAATCTCGGGCCAGACGTTTATGGACCTGATGAGAAAAACTGGTCCCTCTCCCCTTGATGCAAAGTCAGCGGGATTTTGCGAAGTACTTACCTACCTCCATTGGTTTGGCTCAGACCTCTTCAGAATAGTGTCCACACGATTAGCAACAAAAGTACGGAATCTACTTGTTTTGTTGCAAATGTACCTCAGCACTGTTGTACTGTCTGACCAAAACACTGATGGTTGGAGTTGCAGCTGCAACTCTGACTTGAGAAATTTATCCATGCAAGCAGCCATTCTGGCTGTCATTAGCTTCATACGTGGGACTGTAATTGGCCTTAGTGTGGCCACCCTAGCCTTCCCCAACACAAATGCCCAGTGGACTTTGTTACTGCTGAAACTGTCCCATATGCCTCTTCACTGGCGTCAGCAAAGTGATGCATTTGGTTGAATACAGTCTCTCCAAAACCAACTGGCTTAAAGGCTGACGTTTTCGAGACAGTGAAGTTGAATTTTCCACCTATGCCACTGATCAGCAAGATCATCTGGTATGGCAACGTCCCACTCTACCTTTCTTCTGCACAGTTCCTACAGGATTTTCTTTGCGAATAGCATCACTGGAGCTAGGATACCCAGCGGGTCATAAACGGAACTTACAATGGATAAAATGTTCCTCCTAGTCAGAGCCTTATTCGACATTATGATCTTGAATTTAAAGCTGTTGAAATCGATGCACCAGTGAACTCCCAAAGCTCTTTCCATGGGAAGTACATATCTATCCAGGTCGAAATCTTTAACTTCTGGTGCTCTCAATGCCACTTCTTCCTTCCTAAATCTGGTGATTACACCTAGAAGATTACTGGTAAGGTTTGGTCCTTGAAACAGCTCGTTGTTTAGAGTGGTTCCCTGTTACGATGATCCACAGTCAAATACTACTCTGAGTTTGTGTTTCTTGGGGTGATAAACTCCATGGTGAGGCAGGTACTATACTTTGCCATTCTCTCTGTCGAGATCTTTGTTTGGTACTTTAACAGCATATCCCTTGTCAATAATATCTTTCATGAAGGCTGAATATTCAGCATGGAAGGCTGGGTGCTTGACAAACTTTCGCTTAAGAGTTGAAGCCCGTTGCACGGCAACTTCATGATTGTTCGGCATTTCAATATGCTTGTTCCTCACTGGCAGGGCAATACTATAGTGTCCATTCACCAGAGTAGCTGACTGTGTTGCCATGTCAAGAAATTGCAAATCTTCTCTTGGCATTTCCACCTTCTTATCCCTTTCACACTCAGGTAATTCACTTCTAAACTGTTGAGTCCAAAGTTCCTCTAGTTTGCTGACTGATATACGATTTGCTGAAACTTGTATCTGTCAGGATCTGCCATTTGGGTTTTTTTGTTAGTTTATTACTTTCTAGATTCTTGTGTTTATGTGTTGGTTTATTTTCCTTTTTGGTCAGAGTTTCCCCAGGTTATGTTTAGACTAGTTTCCTTTACGGCTCAGTTCCTCATGTCCCTGCGTTTCCTTTGCTCATTAGTTTAATTAGACACATTCCCCTCAGTCTCCCCACAGCCTGTTCCACACCTGTGTCATGTTTCCCCTGATTACCTGTCTCCCTGTTTCATTGGTTCATACTTCACATCCCTCAGTATATTAGCTCTCTAGTTTTCATTGTTCCCGCTGGTTCCTCGTCTACTCCCTTGTTATCTTCCCGAGTTCCTTCTAGTGGTTTGCTTTCTGTTTGCCTCCTGATCTTGTGCTGACCTGCCTGTACTCTGAACTCAGCCTGCCTGCCTGCCTGTAAGTCTGCATGCTGTTTTCACATTAAACCTCAATCTATTCACCATGTGGCCTCCTCGCCATGTTCTGTGCTCTGGTCGTACCTCCAAACCCTCAACCTTGACAGTATCAGCCCACTTGTGTCAATATGTAAAGCTTTTTCTCAGATGGGTTCACTGACAGTCCATCCAAGCCTTGTCTTTATTGCATATTGGCCATCGTTTTCGCTTGCAATAACCTGCCAAGGTTCGATCGCCTTGGGTGCATTGGTCCCAAAAATGAGTCCAATCTTTGCATTAATCTTTGGGATAGACACCTGCTGAAGGTCAGTCCACCTGTCCGCATACTCTTGTGTAGGAATATTATTCGCAGATGCAGGAATGGTAGTCTGGCTGAACGTATCCGGGAGATCTATAAAGTCACTGCTGTCCAAGCTGCATACTTCCAAGCCAGAAACAATGTAACTGTTGATGATCCTTTGGTCGCCCATAGTTTTCAGTAAGATGAGTGTTTTCCTGCCTGTAAGACTCAGTTCTTCCATTAACTCTTCAGTACAGAAGCAAGCTATTGAGCGATTGTCAATAAAGGCATAAGTCTGAGTCACCTGTATGCTCATTTTTGGTTTGACTTGAACTAGAATTATTGCTAAAATGTGCTCTGCACCTTTAGCATCAGATGTCAATCTATCCATTCCCACAAATCCATTCACAACGGACTCAGAGGATCTTTCTTCATTTACATTTGACCCCACTTCAGGCTCTGCCTCCCTGATTGCAGCACTGGGTCTCACCTTGATGTGCAATATTATAGGGTGTGGCTGCTTACAAACTTGGCTACACATTTTCTCCTTACATGCATTGCTCATGTGTCCCTGTTTTAAGCAGTATATTGCAGACACATATTGGCTGTATTATCCAACTCTTCCATGTACTTCACATCTGTCATAGCATTACAACATACTGTGAGATAAAAGCCAAAAGAAGGGAGAGCTTCTCCGACGTCAGAATTGATAGTAGGCCAGTTTAACGCTTTGTTAATATATGCCACTGACATCTTGTAGGCAATTCCAAAATGTTCTTTCAAAAGTCTCTTTGCTTCATTGTATCCACGCTCGAGTTCCATATGCAGACAACTCCTTATCAGCTCCCTCGGTTGTCCACTTGTGTACTGTTCCATATCTGTCCCTGTCACTCTCAGTTATGTTTTCCACACCGTGTTCAAATGCTCTGATGAACAGCCGATACTCTAATGGGCCCCTTTTAAAGATAGGAATGTTCTGCGGAGGCAAGGTGGCTAATCTCTCTTGCTTAGCTAACATTTGGACAACATCCTGTAGAGCATCTACTGCTTCAGGGGCCCCTGGTTGCTGAGCAATAACAGCACGTTTGGACATTTTGGTACAGATTTGGGACACTTTTAACTTTGTTCGAAGCCACATAAGAGTTCTTTCCATCACAACTGGATGATTTAGATGAAACCCCTTAAAATTAATTTAAGAACTTGATCTAGGCATTGGTTGCTGCCAAAGCTGTTTGCAATTCC